CTGTACCTGTCTGGTGGCGTGGCCAATATTGTGCAGACTGAACAGGTGGGTAGAGTCAGACATGGAGTTGTACTTGGAGATGGAGACAGAAAGGGGAACCTTAAGGTCCTCGGAGTCTACATCGATGAGCTCTGGGCAGCCCATGCAAGATGCTTTCTCAGAAACGATGTGCCCTTCTACAGTGGAGAAAAATCTGAGTCATGGAAAAGCATAAGCTCATATTCCAATAACTGCTCAAGGTTCAGGCAAACAGAGTTGGTTAAAGCTTTTCAAAAAGTGTCTAATGTTATTTATTTATGATGCTTTTAATCTAGTTAATTAATTAAAGAATGCCCCAAATTCAGGCTCCCTCTGGATGTGTTTAGATCAACACGACATGATCTCAGTGTGCTTGATGGGACACAAAACAGTCCCAAATAGTCTGTAATACAAACAGGCCAGTGAGAGAAAATATACTTTTTGTTTGTTTTTGGAATCTGGCGGTCATGGAGCATTGGGAGGAAAGCAAAGCCTCTAGAAAGCAACCCAGCTGCCTAATGGTTAAGACACCAGTGGGTATCTCCTAAAACCCAGTCCTGAAATCCCTTCCCAGGTGCTTTATCCCCCATACACACCTTGACACATGTGACCTTATACTTCACATAATGGTGGGTCGGGGCAGTGCCTCATAAAGGATCTGTGACAGAAATGACCGCATGCCTTGATTCACACCTCGGTTCATATGACCTTCATTGACTCACATCAGCACCAAGTGGGTCAAAAATGATCAGGACCACCTCCAAGGACACACTCCCACCAGGGGTTAAATACCAGGGACTGTCCTTGGGTGATTAAACTGAAGAAGAACTGAATCAAAAAGTCCACCAGCCTTCATTTCAAGCCCTTTTCATTTATCATTAAAAACTAGTAAATGTGCTGATGCCACCTATTTACTTAACCTAGCTTACTTTATTTCTTTACAACCAAATCGCACATGAAACAATCAAATACTACTTTAATGTACAAATACAGTTTGCAAGCTGAGCTTTAAAAACCTGCAAAATATCCTGTGAGTGGGAGAGAAAAACACAGGATCGATATACCGAACGCCTATATTTGACTGATTAAAGTCTAGACTGCGTCACTGCCTTTTATGGTGTTATAAGTTAATATTGTGCTTGCAGATAGTGTTGGCATGTTAGCCAATCAGCCCCCTTCTGTTTCCCCAGCAGCCCGCCAGTGCCCATTTCCCTCAGTGACTCACTGTTAGGTGGCTGTACTCAGGTAAACACATTCATGGTGTAAGAACTGTGGATATTTTTGGTTTTGATAATGATTTAAGTTCCTTATGTGGGAATTTTGTCTCTAAAAGCAACTGGTTCTGTGTTAAAATGAGGTCCCAGTCAAAATGGATTCAATAGACCATGTTCTGCAGCAAGACAACAAAAAAACCCAAAGAAAAAAACAAGCTTTGAAAGGACTGTTAAAAACTTTAATCTGATGCTGAGTTTATTCACCCTCACTCACCAATCTGGCAGTCCACCTGCTTTGTCTCAGCCTTTGTCTCTGACATGAGGACGGTGGCGTTGCAAGAAATCGGCCCCTGGAGGGACACGACAGACCGTGCGACGGCTTTGTTTTTACTACAGCATTTAACAAGAACTTTAATATTTTCATACCACGAGTTGTTAAATGGGAGGAGGAGCTGATTATTGTCACCTTGCTTCCAGACTGCAAATAGTCACAGTCTGTCCAGGATTTGCTGCTGTCAGCTGTGCACTCGCTCTTCCAGGTAGTGAACTTCAGTGAGTACACTGAGTCTGAGCCATTCTCTGACTGGAGACACACACACACACACACACACACACACACACACACACACATACACAAATATATGTAATCAGTGTGCACCAGAAGTCAAAGTGTCACAGGATCTTTGAATTTCTTGGTAATCGTCCCAGAGCATTGAATCCTCTTGTTTTTTAGCTTTGTAAGGAAAAACAGCCACAAGCTCAGTTTTAGTTGAATCCAACAAGCTTGATTCCCACTTATGTAACTTACGTAACAAAAAAGCTCATAAAATCTCACAGTATTGTTCTTCATGGTAACACGCGTCTGCAGTCACTGTACCTTGCTGGCTTTCAGTATCTGAAAGAGGGCCAGCTTATGGCCGGTGCTCAGCCTCTCGTTGAATTTGTCCACAGCGCTGTGGACAGCCTTCTCCACAGACGGGTCATCACAAAAGATCAGGACACCAGACTGGACCTCCGCTGCCTCCTGGATGAAAAGAAGGAAGATGATGCACAGAATGATTTTTTTAGAATAAAGCCAAAATGTTTTTGTAAATACCAATAGGCTCATTTCTTTTAAAATTGACAAAAACTGTCGTGTTTTCCAAAAGTGTTGTGATTTGTCTGATTTATTTTTAGCTTCTGTTTCTACATTTTTCTGCAATTTACTCAGAAGTAAAGAAGGCTGTAAAACTTCATGTGTTCAGCTTTCAAAAACGTTGAGGTGACTTACTTTCCTTATTTGCGTATATTCGCAAGTTATCCTTTAACTAATACTCTGCATGCAGGACTTTTCAGGTCAATACCCCGATATCAGAAAACAGCAGAGCACTTAAAAAGGTGCTGCACCACATTTGAAAGGCTTCTAAATTGTGGCATTGCACTGCAGCTTGTGCTAAAGTAAAAGATGTAAATGTTTCTTCATCCTCAGATTATCTGCAAAATGAAATTGCATCATTTCAAAGGGTCACAAGAACTGAAATAAAGTACAGTACAAACAAGGCAAAGTCAGTGACCCTGCAGGTTTGTACTGCAGTGGATTTGCACTCCAAGATCGGAATAAGGGAGTAAGAGTTGATCGTTATTTGCTTTTTGTGGCTTAAGACATCCTACTTATGTACTGAGTGTCCAGATTACCAAACTAGTAAGGGAATCTACCAGAAACTATAAAAAGATGAAGCACATATCCTCCAATTCCCAAAGTAAGTGATGCTCTTGCTTTGACGTGAGGCATCCGACAAACTTAGCAGTTCTGTTTTTAATACTTTTAGCTTATATTTATTAAAAGTATTTAAAGATTTTAATGGAAGATCTTTGCTGTGGTGTTTAAAAACATCCTCTTTTATTTGACAAAACGATCTGATCACCCCCAAGCAGCCTTATTCGGATATTCTAGGTTTCAGAGCAGGAAATCTGGTGTTTCCTCCTTACCTGCCCAAAAACTGAGCACAGCAGGCCCAGCAGGCCCAGCACACACAACCCCACTCCACTCCTCATCTTCAGATCCTGCTGGATGTTTGACTCTGTTCTGCTGTGAGACACAGAAGAGACAAATATCACACACCACCAAACACTGTAAGCCTCAGGTAACCACAGCGAGGCTGAAATGACCTCCAAATAACCTCCGAACACTGATAACTTTCACTGGATCAATCTAAAAATGCACTCCTGTGCACAATTTGCTCGCTTCAAATTATTTACTATAAAAAATGTCCTCTTACAGTTTCTGAAGGTGTAGGCCTGCTGTCGATCCCGCTGAGCTCGTAGAGGAAAAAGTCCACTCCTCTCCACACTGGGATGGACGGCTGAGTGAAGATCTCCTGAAACTGTGGGTGGGAATCGTCAGAAAGACATTGACACACACATGGACACGTGCACAGGGGACAGGAGGGCACAACGGACAGGAGGGACACACACACACACACACACACACACACACACACACACACACACACACACACACACACACACACAGAATAATGATCAGAAAGCTCAGTCAGTAATAGGAAAGTAAATGTTTGCTCATTTGTTTGCCCTCCTACCTATCGAGCAAATGTAACAGTCACTGTCTGAGAGATGAAGGCAGAGAGAAAACTATAACTCCTCACATTAGGCTTAGTGACTGTGACATTGCAACCATTAACGCACATTAAGCCACATAAAGTAGAGCTGACTGGCACTGACTGTAGGGAGAAGGAAATTTTAGTGTTTAGGGACCCCTTTGTGTGCGTTCAGTACTTTGTGAGTGTGTGTGTGT